AATGAAGTACTCTTTCCTGAGGTATAATGTCAGTAAACAGCAGTAATGAAAACAGCCAAATTTGGAGTTCCCTGCTCCCTGCCAAATAACTTCAAGGGTTTTACCTATATATCTTTTACTAATAATAACACAAGATATTCCTAGAAAAAATACTATTAGTATTTCCCTGTACACATGAAACATCACTGAGAACATAGTGTCTCTTCCCTCAAATCCTAACAAATTAAAGCTATTTGAGTATTTAAAATGGTTTGGATATATACTGTAATCTATACACCTAAGATTATTCTAAAATCATATAATAATGATACTGTGCTATATTAGAATACGTTTTGTTTCCTGAATAAGACAAGATTTCATTATTCTTTTTTAAAAAGAGCCACAATGTGAATTACATACTTATTTTAGTAAATACTACGTTTGATTGTATAACACATCTGAGGAGTTAATCTGAAGTCAAATGAGAATTTTTTTAAGATTATTTAACAGGTTTCCTAAGATTTGCAAAACTTGTTGAGTATCACAAAATACATTTAGAAATATGAAAGAAAAGAAAAAGTATGTTTTTTTGAAAATGCAAAGCAAAATATTAAAATTAATTACATGTAATTAGCAGTCATCTTTTTTCTTTGCTGACCTCAAATAAACATGCTGTTTATTGCTCATTGACTAGCTACTCAAAGGCTATGCCCCACCTTAGTTTCTTAACATCTTTTTATTCTGATAAAATTTCTGAGTAGGTAGCAAAGATTTCAAAGGAAGTAAAAAAGGTAATAGCAGAAATTTTCAGACATTCTACCAGCACATTCTATCAGATGGAATTCTTGTATTTCTCACTACAACTCAGTGAAGACTGGCCCCCTGGGATGTTTCCCAGGCATAGCCACTGACATTCAACAACCAGGTGTGAGAGAGAACCATTCTGACCATGACGGTATATTTTACCATTAATGTTATATTTTACCAATGTTATATTTTACCATTAGATACAAAGTCCTCTGTATTATTAATTGCTAGTGCAGTTCAGGTATTTTCCCTTCTTAGTCTATGTAAAACTGCCTTTTAAAATCCAATAATAATGATTTAAATTAAACATACTGAACAGTCTTAAATAAACATTTACATCTGATTTATATGTGTGTATATGAAACATACAAGGCTAATTTCAACTCTTAAAGTATACCCTACAACATGACTTAACTGTCCTAATATATTTCCTCTATTATTTGTTCTATTGTTTGATTGATTATTAATTTATCTATAAACTTTGCTTTAAATTAATGTGGACTACTTTATATACATAAACAGGTAATCCCCTTCTTTAATATGATGAATTTGATTTATTCCTGGAATTTTCTGAGTGAGTTAATCCTTCCTTAGTCTTAATGTTGTCCAAATTTTGACCTGTCATTCAGCTGCAGTCAAAAATGTCTGAGAAATAAATCATGCATTCCTTCTGTAAAGTTATAATTTACATCAGAGTATTAAAGACACTGATAATTCTTACAACAAAAGAAGCTTTAAATAAAAAATGAAAAAGTAGGGATCTAGAATTTCCAATGAGCATCATCATCATGGCATAACATAATTAAATATGCAGAAAAGCAGGGGCCCTAGGAACACTATTTGGGGTGACACAGAAGTGGAAGATCACTATATGATTTCTGTGACACAGGAATCAAATATTTTCCTTTTATAAAATAAAATGAGACACTATTATCATTTAACTATGAAATCCCTGAAAATGTAACAGAAACAGCCTGAATATATTATTGATGACATACTATATCACATTATTGAATCTAGAAATCATATAAACTTAGAAAATTCTGAAACATTTTAATTAATTCAGATAAAAGTATATGTTGCTTTATATCACAGATCAGATGCATTTAGAAATTTTGTTCATTCATATATGTTCTTTTAAAAAAAATATTTATTTAAGCATACAAGAATGGGGTAGAGGTCAGAGGTGTGGGGGGTGAAAGGATTCACCAGAGACAGAGTGGGGAGCAGAACAGGCAGAATGACTGAAATACACTGCTGAGGGGAGCAGCAGGCAAGATAGGAGAGGTCTGCTGTGCCATGTGGGTCACCTCCCCGACCAGGAATTGAACTCATGCTGCAGTGGCTGTGTATAGCTTCATAGTGCTGCATCTTGACCCTTGTGCCACCAGGGAGGCCCCCATATATGTTCTCTTTATAACCCAAGAAACTTGAAAAACACAATCAAATCTTATTATAAATGAAGACAGATCCTTGGACTTCACAAAGCAGTAATGGTCACTTAGCTTGCCAATAAATTGGTACCTAGAGACATTTGATATTTATACATCATCCATACCAACCAAAATCATTATCCAGTTTGGATAATGGTGTATACCTTGGATTCAAATAATTTTAAGCCATAATAAGCCACACATCCTCTACTTTAGGTTGGGAATACTCTTGGCATTAAAACTCTTAAAATTTTATTTTCTTTATTAAATTTTTTAAACAATTTTTTTAAAAAAAGGCTTTATTTTTTTGCGTGGAGGAACTGGGGTGTAGATCAGTGGTGTGAGAGTAGGGGTGAGAGGATTCACCAGAGAGAGAGGGGAGCAGAACAGGCAGATCCACTGAAATACACTGTGGAGGGGAGCAGCACACAAAAGAGGAGAGGTCTGCTGTGCCATGTAGGTTAGTTCACCGGCGGGGGAAGGAAGTCAAGCCACAGTGGAGGCAGTGCTGAGACTTAACCCTTAGGCCACCAGAAAAGCTCTCTTTAAAATTTTATGTGGCCAACAGGCATATGAAAAACTGTTCAACATCACTTGTCATCAGGGAAATGCAAATCAAAACTACCATGAGATACCATCTTACACCAGTGAGAATGGCACATATTAAAAAAACTAGCAACAACAAATGTTGGCGAGGGTGTGGAGAAAAAGGAACTCTCCTGCACTGTTGGTGGGAGTGCAAACTGGTCCAACCACTGTGGAGAGCTGTGTGGAGATTTCTGGACCTACTAAACATAGAGCTTCCATAGGATCCAGCAATTCCACTCCTAGGTATTTACCCAAAGGACACAGAAACATCAATTCCAAAGAGCACCTGCACCCCTATGTTTATAGCAGCACTGTTTACAATAGCTAAGCTTTGGAAACAACCCAAATGCCCAAAAATAGATGACTGGATCAAGAAGATGTGGTACATATATACCATGGAATATTACTCAGCATTCAAAAAAGATAAACACATGCAATTTGCAGCAACATGGATGGCGCTGGAAGGGATCATGCTCAGCGAAATAAGCCAAAAAGAAAAAGAAAAATACCGGATGGTCTCACTCATAGCAGGAATCTAGAAAACTTAAATAAGGGACCAGGAAAATGAATATAAGAAAGTGAAAATCAAAATCAACAAAAAACTATGAACCAGAGACACTTTTTGGGGGGTGGGGGGCGGGAGGGGAAGGATTGGGGTCAGAATGGGGCGTTTGCAATTGTATGGGGGAATATAAAAATAAAATTTATTATAAAAAAAAAAAGATAGTAGTAAGATGTATGTAGCTCAATTGTTTCCTTTCCAAAATATCAACTTCATATATATTGCTTTAAGTGAAATAAAAATATAAACTTATTTTCAAAAGTTTAAAAAAAAAAAAATTAAAAAAATAAAATTTTATGTGGGGCCTCCCTGGTGGCGCAGTGGTTGAGCAGTGAGTTGCGAAGCTGCCTGCAGCCTCTGGAGCTCCGGTTCGATCCCAGGCCGCCAGTTGAGGGTCCCACATGGCGCGCAGACCTCTCCTGCCGCCCGCTGCTCCTCTAAGCAGTGTACTTCGCCAGTCTGCCTGCTCTGCTCTCCACTCTGACTCTGGTGAATTCTCTCACCCTCTCGCGCTTCTGACTGTACCCAGTGCTTACATCAATCAATCAATCAATCAATCAATCAATCTTTAAAATAAACAAATAAATAAAATTTTATGTGGTCTTTCTTTTTATCTGTTTCCTCTATTCTGCTTCTTGTACAAATAGACACACTTGCTATTCTTTTTCAAATCTGTTTATCTCTTTAAACTTAAGTGCAGGTATTAGAGCTTATCAGTCTTCATGGAATCCTTTGGTTTCCTTTTCCTAAGTCATTTTGTCCAACTGAGCAGACAACTTAATCCAAACAGGTTTTGAACACATGTCAAGAATTTGGTTCCTGTCTCTAAAATGAGTCTTAATCTGAATTGGAATTAGCCTTTCAGACTCAAAGCACTAATCTTTTAAGTAGTTAGACAATAAAAACAGTTATTTTTCCAACCCTGGAAAGGAATTTTCCAATTGTGGAGTTTCTCAACAATTTAGCTTCCCTTTCATCCCCTACATTAAACAGGTCACTTATTTACAAATAGTGACATTTAAAATCCTCTTCACAGAAAGCATCATATAAGAACATTATATACATGTTCATCTTTCAAATAAGTCCACATAACACCTTTATCAATTGCTTTGCTACTATATAAAATGTGTCACCAATTTCTAGCCTCCGATAAGTTTTCTCACTGCTAGTTGTCTGGCCTGGCATATAAATGCCACATACGTTATGTTTTTATTATGGTAACACTCCACTTCCAACCATCAAGCCTGTTATTCTTGATTTTGCTACAAAATAACTAAAATCTCATGAGCTTAAAGACCAAGTATTGCATTCTTTTTTTTTTTTTTTAAAGATTTATTTATTTATTTATACAAGCACTGGGTAGAGTCAGAGGCGCGGGAGGGTGAGAGAATTCACCAGAGCCAGAGCAGGGAACAGAACAGGCAGATGGACCGAAATACACTCCTGAGGGGAGCAGCGGGCGCGGCAGGAGAGGTCTGTGTGCCATGTGGGACCCTCGCCGGTGGCCGGGGAGTTCATTCTTAGTAATGTTTCACATAGGCAGTTACTGGATGGATCACAGTGAATCTGCTTAACCCCATTTTTTGGGGATTTATTCAAAGATCCTCTCAAGACCCAGAATGAAACTGATGCCTATATGTGAAGTCTCCAACCATTTAAGGGTCTAAGAAAAAATGCAAGAGGTAAGACAATCATTAGAATTTCACTTAGAGCTTCTAACTGGCTATAGCATAGTCATAGTTGTTTACATTCCACTGGCCACAGAGAAAATTACATATTGAAATCCAAAATCAATGAGGAAGGAAGAAACACAGACTCCTCAAAACAGGAGCAGGCAGACCCCATGCAGTGGGAAGAGAGGTATAAACTGCTTTTGGGGAAAGAGTATCCCAGAGAAAGATCCATATATTATACATCATATTTTTATTGTGAATATTTATTGAGTTATGGCTGTATGATTGAATAAATAGGAATTTGGAGCTCCTGTTATATAATGTCTTTCTAAAGAAAGCAACAACTTTCTATGCAGTATCCTGAAGTAGGTAAAAAGGCAGAAAAGCTCCTAGTGATTTCTTACTTTCCTTGTGAGTTCACCTACCAATTGATGGCCTCTTCCTGCTGGCCTATTCTTAAATACTTTATTTAGTATTTCCTGAGCCTTTATTTCATGACCACCCAGGAAGAAATAGGTCCTTAGGAATTCCTACAGTTGCCTGATTTTAAGATACACTGTGCATCTGTGCATGTGTGTGAGTGTGCATGCACCTTTGTGTGTATATTTAGAAACAATGTCTTTCTTAATTTTGGACATGATTATGTAAGAAAAACAAAGGTTATTATAATTTTTTAAACTTTTGCAATCTGGGAGGTATTGAAAATTATGTCATTCCCTAGTGACCTCACTCATGATGGAATAGAGAAGTGGGTTATGACAATGAAGCATTACTGGGAGCATTTCCAAATCCATCTGGCAAGCACAGATCATGTATTTCAGAAAGTGATCACTCACTTCCTACATGTAATGTGGCAGGACTGAATGTCACATCAGTGGGAAAGTAAACATAAAAGACAGCAAGCATAAATGATTAGTAGAGACCCCAAGCAAGAAAATATTTTAAATTCTGTAACTTGGTTATCAAGGTTTTCATTTATGAATATTGTAAACACACAGTTACATGTTACTTCTGAAGTATGCTTCAGGGGCTAACTTTACATTGGCCAGTAACTTTCAATAGGATTTTCCCAGACGACTCAATTTTTAATAATATTTATTAAGGCATAACATATATAGTAAAATTCACCAATTTTAAATGTACAATTCACTGACTAATAATGCGATTTTTACAAATTTTAAGCTAGATCTATAAAATTTATGAAAAAGAAAAATTATAGGATGCAGATTTCACTTTTATCCTTGGGTTTTGCTTCTTTCAGGAATGTGGTCAGCTTATGTGGTAGCAACTTTTAGTTTAACCCTGGAACAGAGAGTCTAGAATGTCCCTTCCATATGTCAGGGTCTCTTGCAGCTCTTATACATCCCAATCTACCCCCTAAATCTTGGAATGTGAGCCTACTTACCTGCTTCTTTTACTGTCCATAAAGGCCCCAGGTGCCATTTCTAAAGCTATTATGTCAGCCATTTTCTCAATTTGTTTCCACCTAAGATACCTGCACCTAGACAATGCACATTGCAGAGTCCTCTTCAGAATGCTAACAGGGACATAACATAGCCTGTGATGGGTGTTTACAGTGCATGAAGTTAGCATTGCCCATCATTGCTGCTTTTCAGCCACTAACTGCTATGATACAGAACAGTCATGGTGCTGGGGACCTATGAAGACATGCCAGGTTAAATTTCAAGTACCAGGCCTCCCTGGTGGCGCAAGACGTTAGGACACAACCTATGAAGCTATCCACAGCCACTGCAACACAAGTTCTATCCCCAGCCAAGGAGCTGCCCACATGGCGCAGCAGACCTCTCCAGACTCGCCTGCTGCTCCCCTCAGCAGTGTATTTCAGTCAGTCTGCCCATTCTGTTCCCCACTCTGTCTCTGGTGAATCCTCTCACCCTCCCGCACTCTGGCCTGTACCCCAGCTCTTGTTTGCATAAATAAATAAATCTTTGAAAAAAATAAATTTCAAACATCAAGTGACTGCCATTGAAAGGGACTATCCCTCCCATCACTCTATAATCCTGAACAGAGATTCACAGCTTTCAGAGCCAGTAGATTGAAGTGCTCAAGGAAGAAACCAAGACTTTTCCATTTGAACTATTCCTGAATTTTCATATAAGAAGAGCAAGCAGGATTTACAAAAGATATTCGAAAACAATGGCACTTTTCTGGAAAAAATTTGATGAATTCAGAATTTAAAGGCTGTGCTTTCTTAAGACAAGAGGACAATCTATACATAAAAGAAGTGAAGGCATTCAATAAGAATACTGGAACCCTTGTTCTCATCTAAGTACTCTCCTTAGTTAACAATTTCACTCTATATTCAGTAAACTGTGCTGCCCAAGCCTCCAGCCACTAGGAACAATCCACTTCCTGTTACATTTCAGTAAGAATTAAGACTGTTTGTCTGTTATAGATTTCTCTTTGCTTTTCTTTATAACACTTTCTTTCCTTGAAAGTTGCTCACAAACAGGCCATAGATTTGATATATTGGTGAATAGGGCAAGCACTTCCTTCAAGTTTATAGTAGAGGACACCATTTTAAGAAAATTTAATTCCTCCGTTCTGCCTCTGGACAAATATGGCTTTCCAAGATGAATGTCCAATGTCTATGAAAAAATGTACTAATCAGATAACATAATATTCTGGTTTTCTTAGCAGTTATTTCCTAATTTCAAATTAATAAAATGGAAACATGATTTTAACAGCCAAAAAAAAAAGAATTAAGACTGTTTTAGAGAGCCCAATCAAATGTCCAGGAGAACTACCTGTGTTTTCTTGTACAATCAAAAGTTGCTTTTTCACAGTGAGATGTTGGACTTGGTGAGTCAAATCAAATCAGGTAAGAATTTTCATCCCATTTACAATTATTTCAATATGATTGCTACTAAAGCCAGTTGGTTACAAATAGAAGCACATGTACTGACCATCAGAGTTCTTGGGGAGTACCCAAAGTATCTTATCTCTCTAGTACAACTGGGAAAAAAAAAAAATCAGTCTTCATCCAAGTGTTGTAGTGAAGGGAAATTAAGAGACAGAAACTTTTAAGGTCACTATGGGGCATTCACTGAACTCCTTCAGCAAAATCTTGAATAAATGCTTATTTTCTCAGGCTTTTAAAGTCTATCTGAAATGTCCAACTTGGCATCGTTAGAATGGAGGCAGTAGGAGCCAAGACTCTTCTTCAACTCCCTCCTTGAGAATTCCATCATTTGCCACTTTAGAGGAACATAAATATAGTAGACTGCCTTTGTAGCATGATATTTTATCTTAACTCTATCCAGACTTTTTCACCCAGTAGAAATAGCCATAGCCAAGAATTTCAGAGTACTTGCTTTGGTACCAACCCTAGGTCTTCATGGAATCACAACCCCTCCCCCACAAAAGGTTTACTCATTTAACTACCATAATCTCCACTGATGCTTGATCATTATTACTTCTAATTTTAAAATCTGAAATAAAAGGGGATGATAATGGCAATGAGATAATTCTGTCAAGCATTTGAGATGTCATATGACACTGGTGAAGGTTGAATATCCTACCTTCATAGCCTACTATTTATTTGAAAATAGTGGCTGTATCCATGGGAGAAACACAAACCCCAGAAGCATATATTTGTTTGGTGTCAGTCAGGGTGTTTAATATCCCCTCTGAAAGATCCATAATCAACATGAGGAAATAAACGTAGGCTAGTAGGGACCGATTGGGGACTTCTTTCTATTTGGTCGGTTGTTTCTCTTGCTAGTACTATATGCATGACTTTTACTGCTGCTGTGTATTTTTTTTTTCATATATATTTTTTCTGTGGCTATCTTTATTACTTGAGGGGAAAAATCCTGTAATAAAACCTGCTGTTTTCCTGATAGTATTTCTATCCTTCACTTTCAATAGCACCTGAGGGTTCTTCAAATATTCCACAGGAAAACTCACAGTCCAATAGATTTCTCAGTTCACACAGTGAGCAACACACAGTGGCCACAGAAGACAAATACTTCCCGGTATGAACTAGATCCAACCTTTCAGTTACAACAGCACATCTAGTAAGGCAGAGTAAGCAATGTGGGCAATGAAAACCCCATGCCACATGCACCGGAAACATGATTCTACATAAGTAATTCCTCTTTACAATCCACTGAGAACATGAATATAAGTACCTTCCTATCTTCAATCACAAAGCAAACAAAACTGAAATACTAAATTATAGAAATTTTATAAAAATTGAAAGTTAACAGGAAGTCAACTAAAAATAAGAGCTGAAAAGGATTTTTACATATGCAATTTTTCAGTTAGCAATAATTGAAAGTAGTACCAATATAAATAATTGAATATATTTTTAAAGAAGGACACACTTCAAAATGATTATCAGTTAATTTGATTTGAACTAGGCTAAAATCCATAATGAAAGACTGAAGGTACAATAACATAAAGGTTATTCACATGCAAAACACTACATAAAGGAAAGAAAAGAAACAAGAAGTAGCAAGTCTAAGGAAATACTAAAAAAAAAATTGAAAAATACTTTACTATACTTGACAATAATAAGTAGTGTTTTCAAGGTAACATTCAGTGTCAGTCTAAAATGTCTGTATCATCATTTTCCTAACTCATGGAATCATAAAGTAGTTGCATTCAACAGTATATTCATCAGCATGGGCTGCTATAACAAATAATATGAACTGGGTGACTTAAAGAACAGAGAATGATTTTTCACAGTTTTGGAAGTAGCAATAGCCCATGTCCAATTCCACTTTCCCCCCATCCATAGGCATACACATAAAAACTTCTGGTGTTTATCATCAAGGTATATAGGCCCTTACCATCCTTCTCCTGTCTACAATTGCCTACCCTGCAGAAAAGGTGTACATTATAGGGGACTATGGGGCATCTCAAGACACAGATATACAATACTTCAGCAGGTCAGTCATCAAACCTGACTACAGATCATTAAGTAGAAAATATATTCACTGGACATAGATAGGAAAAACAGCTT